GGCGGGGCGGGCCGAGGGGCGCCGGGGCCTCACCGTGTAGTTGCGGAAGCTGCCCTTGTCTTTGGGGGCCTCGGGGTCCACATCCGGCCGGTACACCAGGGAAGGGTCGGGGCCCTGGTGGGGTGGGTGGGGAGCGAGACCCTTGAGCACGAAGCCGGCTCCGCGAGGGCACGAGGACGCGGGCGAGGCCGGGGGTCCCCGCACCCTCTGCGGGCCGGAACCCGAGGGATGCGCCGCGGGCGCCTGCGGGGATGCCGTGGCGCGCATCCGCACGCCTTCTCCGGCCGAGTCCCGCGGGGGGCCGGGGCCGACCGCCCAGCCAGCCCCAAGCAGGAAGGTGAAGCTCTTTGGCAGGAAGGCACGTGGGGCCGCCGCCTGCCACTGACCGTGGTCACTCACCACAAGCACCTTCATCCCGGCAGAGCTGAGGGCGGCGCAGCCGAGGGCCTATATATGCCCGCAGGTTACATAAGCGGCCGGGCACCACTGGCCCCTTGGCCTTGGCGCTCGCTAATGAGTGACCGCCGGCCCCCTCCTGGCCTCAGCAAGTTAATGTGTCAGCGCGGCCCCCAGCGGAGGCCCTGGGCTCCTGACCCCAGCTGCCGCCCCCCCCCCCCGTGCCACCTGCCTGGCCCTGCGCTCGCCCGCCTGCGCCCAGTGGGGCTCACTGAGCGGATGGTGTGCCCGCCCCTCCTTGGCACAGGGCGGACTACTGGGGGCTCAAGCAAGCGGAGCCAGTCCCAGGGGACACAGCAGGGCGGGGAGCGGAGCCGGTCCCCGGGGGCTGGAGCTTGCCCAGTGAGTCCCCCCACACTGAGGGCGCTCCCCAGCGTGCGGGGTGAGGCCGACTGGAGAAGGGAGTGCAGGCAGCTGGCCGGGTCGGGCCCTGGAGGGGGTCTGCAGTGGGCAGATGAAACCAGACAGCAGTCAGCGTCTGGGCTGGACACGGAGCCCGATGGCCGACAGGCCCAGGGCCACCCCGCGGGGCGGGTAAACGCAGCCTTGGGCGCCTGCAGCGAGGCTCCGTCTGCGAGATCAGGACCTGCCACTGCCCAGGCAGAGAGAGGCAGCAGGTCCTGCCCCCGGCTGCGCCCACAGCCTGGTGGGGTGCTGGTGCCACAGCCATGGCCCGACGGGGGCACAACCGGAAACAGGTGCCCTGTGTCCCCACGGGGAAGAGACAGGGAGCTGGGGCCCCCAGGGCCCTCGGGGGCTCCGGGCTCGGGGGACCAGGGGGAGCAGGGCACAGCCCCCTGGCTCTGGACGCTGGTGCCAGGAGGGGAATGGGAGCTGGGGCTCCGTGTCCCCACGGTGCCGGAGGGCTGCAGCCCTGGAGCGGGGCCGGGTCACGACCCCGTCGCTCCAAGGCAGGCTCTGGGCCGAAGGCGATGGCTGCAGGCGGCACCAGGCGCGGGGCGGGGCCCTGGCAGGTGACCCGTGGCTCGCTGCTGAGCTCAGCCGTCCTCAGCCCTGGGGGCGCGGCCCAGGCCAGCTGGCACAGTGGAGGGCCCGGGCCCTCCGTGCGGGCACCAGGCACAGGGGGGTCACTGAGGAGGGGCCACTGGCGGGCACTGCTGCGGGTCGTCAGGCCCTCGCGCAGGCCGGAACTCCGGCGGGACCCAGCGGCCGCCCGACGGCCTGTCTGTGTCCTTCGTAGCTGCCTCTGCCGCTGGCCGCAGAGCGGCCCGGGGGCTCCTCCGGCCGCCCGTGCCCGGGCCGGGCGCCCACCCCGGCTTCCTCCAGGCAGCCTTCCCTGGAAACTGGCTGACCGCCTCCCACGGGATCCCCGCTCAGGACCCCATGCAAGGCTGTGCCACTGGGTGGGCATGAGGGGGCCCCCTGTGCCTGGAGGGGAGCCCCGGGTGCATGGGGTGCATGGGGGTAGCCTGGTGCCTGCAGGGAGTCCTTGGGTGAGGGCCCTGAGCCTAGGTGGGGGGCCACTGTGTGGGGGGGACCTGTGTGTGTGGGCACCCTGTACCTGATGGGGGCCCCCTATGTGGGGGGACCCTAGTAGGCAGGCCCAGCCTGAGCTGGTCCCATGGCTGGTAGAGGGAAGCTGGTTTCTCAGGGTGAGCCCTGAATGGGGTGAACACGGGGCACCTGTAGACACCCCCAGGGGCTGTGGTGTCTGGCTCAGGCCTGCTACCCCCCCATGCACCTGCCCCTTGTTCCTGCCTCTGGAGTTGGGGTGGCCCTGGTGCCTCCTGGGAGGCCGACAGAGTGACACAGGCAGGTGTGAGACAGCAGGTGTGAGACAGCAGGTGCTGGATGAGTTTATTGCACCCCTGGGGCCGCAGGCGCTGCTCCCCCACCCTCCCCACCCCCGCCTATGCTGGCCCTGGAGTCCGGCCATGGGTCTGGTCTCTGGCGCCCCCGCCACAGGTGGGGACTCTGGACCTCAGACTGATTTGGTTCAGGAGCTCTGGCCGCCTCCCAGCCCCGGAGCGGGGCCCGCTGGTGTCCCGGTCAGCCAGCAAGTCCTCCCGCCCAGGCCACCTGCAGCCCTCCCGCGCCCAGGGTGAGGGAGGCGGGGGCGGGCACACCAGGGCTTGGATGTCACAGCGGGCAGCAGGGCCCTGGGGTTTGGACACCAACACGCTGCAGGCGCCAGCCCTCCACGCGCCCCCAGACGGGAGCCCCTGGGTGGAGTCGGCCAGCCGCTGCTCCAAGGCTGACGGGGTGGGGCGGCCCCAGTGGCTGCTGTTTGGGGGTCTCTGGGGGCGGCCCGCCCACCTCAGCCGTAGCCGTGGGGACTGCTGTGGCCCGCGGGGCGGAGTCCCGAGAGCCCGCCGGGCTGACCAGCTGCCACAGG